CCCCCCCCCCCGTCCACCCCGGCATACCTGAATTGGCGGGGCAAACGTAAGGATGATGAACAATTCTTTTGTTCACCCTTGTTAAACGCAGCCTGGGCTAGCGAAAACCGGCATATCCCCTCGTCCCTGGAGTGGTCATTGGTCTAGCAACTAAGGCATACAAGACACGAATACGCCCCGGCCGTCATCTCACCGTCGGCCAGTACTTCACGTGCTTGTCGCAGGCGTTGAAGAGGGGGTGCAGCAGTCTCCCGGCGCTGTAGGGAGATATGCCCTCGTACATGCCCGACGCCTTGAGCTCATTCCAGACCTTTATCGCCTCGTCCATCGCGGCCTCGCTCTCCTGCTCGTCGTACCCTTCGACGCCTTCGGTCCGCTTCGCCTGGATTGTGATTTGGTAAACGCACGTCATGTTACACAAGTAAGGCAGGGCATGCAGGGCATGCAGGGCGTGACTGACCTACTGTTCTTGGAAACAAGTCTGACAGGTCTTAGTGTCTGGTAGCGCTGCGCAGCCCTCTGCCGTCACGCCTTAGCATCTACAGTACACACGGTTGTCACGTCGAGCGTTGTCGTAAGGCTACCCGGCTCGACAACGACAAACAGCGATGCTGCTTCCATCCGTCCGCCTGCTGTTTTGTTTGGCAGTGGGTGCCAAGCGCCTGCCCGAAGGGCTTCGACAAAAAGAAGGAGGCAAGCAACGTCCGAGTTGCATGGCTCGCCCTCTGAACCCCCTCCCCCCCAAAGGCTCACTTCCCGCACCCCCAAGCCTCACTCCAACAACCTCCCTATCCACCACTTTCGGCTCTTCCGCGTAGCCGGAACATGCTCTAGAACCAAACCTATCCAGCAAGGACGCGCGAAATACCGTTCCAGGGACAGTTCCGCACACAGACAGGCGCTCACCACTCTTAGCAGGGTCGACAACGCAGAGAGGAACAAGCTCCTCATCGGCTTGGGCGCTTCCAGCTGCTGGTGCTGCATTAGCCGCACGTGCGACCGAAAGGCTTCCATCACCCGAATGGTCTCCTCCCAGCGATCGCTCCTGTTGAGCGCGTGCAGCACGGCGTTGTAGCAGTTCTGGTCCGGGTGAGGCTGCCCTCGCTCCACCAGCTTGAAGAAGAACTCCAGCGCCTGCTCCCACTCGTTCGCCCACGCCAGCACCATGAGGTACTGGTGGCACAAGTCCATGCTCGTCGGCAAGAGGCCGGCACCCCCCCCCTCCGGGTCTTCGTCTTCGACGTAGAGCTGGATGACACGGTTAGCAACCGCCGACGCGCCCTGTGTCGCACAAAACAACGTGTGCGCGTGGGATGTGTGTGCGTGAGTTGCGGCGAGAGGAGGAAATACTGCTGCCGCCGAACCTCGGGCCAGATTTGAAGTCGGGTCCCCGGTAACGAAGGGAGACGATGTCGAGAACACGGACTCAGGCTCGCATGATAAAAATCAACATATGGTCGATGAACACAGCTGAGCGGTGGCGGTTGGTCCTACACTACATCCTACCACGCAATAGCTGAAGTTGGACGGCGGAGATGAAACAAGAGACTCGGGCCTCGACCTCGAGTTGTTGTTGTGCCTTGTAGACTGTGTTATACACCATCGGCGTTGATTGGTCTTCGTAATAGTGTTGGCGTGCATTTGCGAAACAACCCAGCTCGTGACCACCCGGTCGCAAACGCGGCCGCTGCGGTGACATGTGATACTAATTGCCCCAAGAAAACGCCATGCGGATGGAACACTCCTCCCGGCCTATAGAAAATTATTGATGAGAACATGGACACCTTACCGGAACCGCAACAAGATCACGGCGCAAGCTTGGACTCGCTAGGCTACCGATTTTGTGGGATTCACGAAACGAACAGCAGTCGGAATCTTATTCGATTTGCTGTATTATCGCCAGGTCGAGCGTCGTTTTTCCACTCTTTGCTCTCTCGTGACGCATCCTTTCGGGCACACGGGTGGGTGTATTGTTAGCGCTAGTATGGACAGGCGTCTAGCATGGGCAGGCAAAACAAAGTACGTGCCACCGAGTATGCATACTTTCAATGATACATACATACGAATCGGTCGGATTTCGCACAATAACCCCGGTGGCCAACCCTCCATAACAATCACACCGAAATGCACGAAACCGACCATGCACAGACAGCAGCCTTGCGCAGTTCATGCACCGTACAAGCATGCAGAACGGTTTCGGTCAAACCCAGCAACGGATACTTGCTAGCTCCTCTCAGCACACACACCCCTCATCCCTCGTCAGGCATGCTTTAGCTTTTCTCGAACATCCACCCTGGTCCCCTACCGTGACAAGCATAGAGAATAAGGAATGTCTCCCGCAAAACTCACCTTTAGCACACATGACATCACACGCGGCAACGATGCCTAAGACAACAAAATATGCCACAAAAACCTACCTACCGACCCGTGGAGTCGTGTACGCCCCGACCCCCCTAAGAATATCACCAGTCACGATCCCCCCCACCCGCACATGCAGACGAACTGTACTAGCGTCAACTTTCTAAACAGTCGGACGTCCAAGCGGGCCCAAGTCATTCTTGTTCACCATACTCTCAATCCATTTGTTGGGTGGGAAGTATGCATGCATGCGACCTTCTACCATCACGGTGCCCCCCTCCGCCCCCTCCCGCGCTATGAGCGCGCTTACCTCGGTCCCTCTGATACTTTCCAAGAGAGTTTTATACGCCCGTTCAGTCGGCAACCAGCCCGACTCCTTCATCTCCAAAATCACCTCCATTGCGGCATCCCTAATGGGCGGTAAGATTAAGATTCATACAGCAGAAAGGGAGAACACAAGTGACAAGAGGGCGGAGAGGCAGGAGGTGAGAGCGCAGTATATGTGTGCTACTCTACTCCGCAACCTTTCTAATCGTCAACAAAGAACAGAAACATTTTGTCCCGGTAAGAATAATTCGTCATCGGCATACATGCATGTACTCATCCTCATCCTCGCTCTCGGATCCCGGGGCACGAGAACTCCTCTTCGCTCAGACTCCTCCTGCGGCGATTCAACACCTGTGCTGCCTACAGCCATCTTTGGTTCAACCTACGTACAAGTGATTCGACAAATGTTGTCCGCCTAGACCTGAAGCGAGACGACGTTCGGCTCTACGGGGCAGGGATGTGACGGGGGCATTGGTCATCGGCGGTCTTGGACCCTCCGAGAGGAATCATTCCTCACGCTTGGACGACGGTACCTTGAGTTTTCCAAGCTGAACAAAACTCAGCAACCGACAAATATAGCAACAAATATAGCAACAAATATAGCAACAAATATAGCAACAAATATAGCAACAAATATAGCAACAAATATAGCAACAAATATAGCAACAAGTATAGCAACAAATATAGCAAGCAACAGTTGGCCTTGAGTTGTGGGGTGTTTGCGCAAGGTCCGTCGGCGCTGGAACGCGAAGAAACAAACCGAACGGGAGCCTTCACGTAAAGCCGAGTACCACTTGCCATCAGGATCATCACCTGTCCTCATGTGGCACAATACAACATGGCCCGAGCACTGCAATGCTACCCCCCCCCCTCAACTCCGATATTCTCACCCTTGTTTGAGCTGGCTGTGGGCAATGGACGCCGCCTCGAAAGCTTGCCTGTTAGGCGGGCTTTCCTTGAAGGTCTTCAACTTTTTTGTGGCATTATCGGAGCCAGGAGAACGATACACAAATCGACAAGCAGTAGACGTGACAGCAGCGGTAAGAGTGGCGGCTAGCACGGCCAACGAACGGTGATATAAACGAAACGATGTTGGAACCGTTGATAGACAGCAACAGGTAGTGGGAGTGGCAGGTTACACTTGGAGAACTGCAAACGACCTACGGTCGTACGAGACGGCTCAGACACACCTGGCTGCGGTAGAGCACGTCGATGGCACGGAAACAGCAGGCAGGTAGCAAACGGCATGGAACATTGCAGCAAAGAGCACATGTGGCCGTGGCAACAAGAGGAGCAGAAAACCAAATCTACTCCTTTGCCGGCTGACTGAATTCCAACGTCAGCAGTCTTGACAGCTTCGCCGACTACTGTTCGGCCGTTCCCCTTTCTCTCTCTCTCTTTCTCTCTGCACCTCTACTTGTGTCTTCTCGCTCTGTCTCCGTCTCTTGCTCTTCTTCTTGCTTTCCGCTATTCTTGCATAGATGCAACACCACGTGGTGATCAAATACCTCGCTGAAGAGCGCAATAGCTTTCTCCGGTTGTCCGAAGTCGAGGCACGTCCTCATCCCGAGGCTGTAGACGAACGTCAGCCCGAGACCCCTCGCCCCTTGCTCCTCCTTAGCCTTGTCCAAGATCTGCATCACCTCCATGCACTTCTCTTCCTTCATCGGGTCCTTCCTCTTCATCTTGCTATGCCGAATCTCTTCGATCCTCTTCGCCATGGGAAGGACTCTGCAGCAACAGCAACGTGGGTGCAATCGTCGTCTGGTCTCGCGGGACACATGCGTACTAACGCGGGGTGCACTTTTGCAGGGGCAACACTCGAGGGGACGGGGGTGCGCATTTCGGCGCAGACATTGAACCCTTATTTATAACTGTAGTTTTGTATACCCGCGCGCAAGCCGGGGGGTCATCGCCTACCATGCATCGCTACTGGAATACATTCTGCGTCGCACCCCTTTGAAGGCCAGAAAGCAGGGACCGGAGGATGTCGGGGTTTTCTTGTACCGACTTAAGGAGGCTTTTTTCACTCACGCGATTCCAAGTACGAAGCCCCCGTGCGGCCATAGATTTGTGTTAGATGAACCGCGCGAGGGCCGAGCTGTGTCCCAACTGCAGACAGCGGCAACCTTGTGGATATCGGCGATGTGTTTTACGAGGGCGAGCCCGATAACCGTGGCGCCATAGACCAACACGAGATAGGTGTTGCTACGAAACTGCCATCACATCATCGTGTGACTACACCGTACAGAATAGACATGGAATCGCTTGACTAGAGGACCCCAATTCCACCACCCACGGAGTCAAAAGCATGACGCTCGCGCTCGTGGCGCCCCCAGGCGTTGGGCGTTGGCGGATTGGTCCCAACCAAGCGGGGCCATGCCGGGGACTACCAAGGTGTTCACTGCTATAGCGATCTACGGTAGGGCCGTGTATGCTGCAACATAGTTGAGATTTGTCGAGTTTGCACGGAGCACACCGCAAGATACTCTAAGGCACCATTGCCATTCGTCCAAGAATCACAGGACGCCACCATTGGGATGATAACCTTGCACCCTCTCCTACACAACATAGCGGCGGATGGCGCACTCGTTTCCGTGAATCGTGTGCCCGCAACATTCATTTCTCTGCCAAGCAGGTCCAACTCTTGTGACATTGCGCACAAACGCGGCAAGGCGGGGCACTCAGAACTACTCGCCGTCAGTAACCTTTGACGCCCTGGGGCGTTTTGCTGCGACACAAAGCAAAGCTCTCCCTCTCAAAGGTGCGCAGAGCCGCCACACATAGCGTGATCCCACGCTGGCGGAGTGATGCATACCCGCCTATTGAACGTGAAGAAGAGCATGTACCATATGTATGAACACACGACTTTTTCCACAAGAGACAAGATACACCCGACACACCTCCACTCCTCTGACTGGCTCCTCGTCAGCGGGGGCACGCGCCCTTGCCGCCTCGAGAACTTACGGCCCTCAGACTTCTTGAGCGGCTCCGACAGCAACTCTCGCTCAGCTCCCTCCTCCTCCTCCATCTGATGCTGCGGTGGGAGCGCCACATGATCTCCTACATGCTGTTGACCGGCAGCTCCCTTCAGCAACATGCTACTGCTGCTGCCGCCAACCCCATGCGCCGTCTTCTCCACGCCCAGCAACTCGATCGCCTCGAGACCCCCTCCCCCGCCACCTTCCAGGTCATTCAGGAGGTCGAACAGCTTGTTCCTTCCGCCATTGGCAGCGACCGGCTTGCGCTTACGTCGCTTGCTTCGATCCTCCTCCTCTGTCCCCGGGGGAGTGCTCGCTCCTCCTGCCCCAGCTGCTGCGATCTCATCAGCAGCAGCATTTTCGCCATCTTCCCACGACGCATCCCCGAGCTGCTGCGTGTCGCCCCCGGCGTTCTCTTGCACCTGAAGCGTAGAGGCGGACTCGGTCCGGCTACATGCTATCGTTGCGCCAGACACACGGCGGCAGCTGCTACGCGACGCTAAAACACGTGCTGCTGGTCGTCTTTGTTGCCAGGCCGTGGCGGCCTCCGCGGGTGGTGCCGCCACACACGTATGTGTTGCGGTTTTTTCTGCCTTGTTGCTGCTGGGCGAGGACCTCCACGCGTTCCCGGCGAACCCATCCGTGCAAACCCAGCTCTGCAAGCTCACACCACACGCCAGGAGTGTGCATGCTCTGCTCATGCGATCTGGTCTGCGCCGTCGGTACGTGTGTCGTGGGATCACACCACCTCGTTGTTGGTGCTGTCGATTTTGCTGCTCCTCACTGCTACCGCTGCGCTCAACTAGAGCGGGTCGGTCGCCTTGATCTGCTCCCGATCGACCGCCTCGATCAAGGCCCATAGCTCCACGCTTGTCTCGCTCAACGCAGACCTATCTCTGAGTCTCTGCTTTCCCTGTCTCTGTCTCTCCCCCAGAGCGTAACGGGCTGTGGCTGGCGAACCTGCTGCTGTCGACGATTGTAAATTACAACACGTCGCATTTTTGTGTCAAAGGCGGAGGCCCGTGGGAACAGTTGGTACCGTGCGAGTATTGAAATCATTCACGGCGCCCCCATGCTAGAATTGGGTGCAGCTGCAGCGTGCCAGGTGGAAGGACCGAGAGAAAGCTGGCTTGCGGGGGGGCTCAGTTGTCAACGTCGTAGCAAGGGAAACGGAAGGAGAGGAAGGAATTCTGCAGGATGGTGGACTTCGTGGATAGACAGGTGGACGAGCTGAAGAAGCTATGGCACAACAAGCGGCAGCTCGCTTTCCAGGGGCTGAACCTGGCCATGATCGTGCTCTCCGCCCTCATGATCTGGAAGTCGCTCATGGTGGTCACCAAGTCGGAGAGTCCCGTTGTCGTTGTACTCAGGCAAGTCTTGTATTGCATGGCGGACCTTGTCCACATTTGAGTACAATTAGCGTTGCGTTTCAAGACTTGGAAGGCACAAGAATGCTGCATGTGGCATGGGTGCCGGTGTGAGGCAACGCTGCGAGCGACGCCGGCCGCTCGGTGTCTTACCCGTACTAAAAAGTAGCACAGCAGCGGCTGACTAGTAGCACAGAGATAAAGTGCACAGCAGTAGCGGCGAACTAGCAGCACAGAGGTAAATTGTCGTGTAGACGCAGCAGTCGTTGGCGCCAATATCATCCTGGTGACTACAATGCATACATACAAACGAACAAGGGCTAGCGAGGGGCGTCAACGCCTACACCAGTAATACTTTCTACTACTGCTGTAGATCACAGGCACGTGGCGATGGGATCGGCACTCCAAGCTCATGTCTTTGTCTTTTATCAGCAGCGCCAACCCTAGTACCTTCGAGGCAAATAGTGCTGCGGACATGTCTCCGCCCAAAAATACTGTTGTGATGCTCCTCTGCCTGTGTAGGCCCCGAGGAAACGGTTAATTTGTGGGACGATCCAAGGTGCACCGGGCAGATATCCACACCACGGCTTGGTCGTGTGGGCTCAAGATTCTTATGCGTTTTGTTTTCCGGTTTGTTGGGAGCGTTGGGATACATCGATCGGTTGGCCGCGGGTGTATAGCGCATCGACGGGAATTCGAGGCTGGACGTAAGATGATCTTTGTGCTGTTCGCACCGAGCGCCGGGCGGGGCAGCGTCGAAAGTCGCAGTTACAGGACACCGCAGTTGAGATGAGCACGGAGACGGCAGAATGGGTAGCGACATGCCAATGTGCCGGACTGATGATGCAGGCGGCAGAAATACTAGCGAGATGATACGTGTCCCAATACCTGTTATGGCTGCCCCCCCCCCCCCCCCCCCCCCCCCCCCCCCCCCCCCCCCCCC